TCTTCTTGTGTCAGATCCCGGATCTCCCCGACCAAATACTTCTTCAAGACTATGATCCACGACTCCTCGTCCTGCGCTTGACGGATCCGTTCAATCCGCAGCTCTCTCACGACCTCTTCTCGTAGGGAATTTGGATCAGATCCCACACGCAATCCCGATCTAGCTTTAGATCGGGTCGTCACAACTGATACCTGTGCGATCTCTTCTTCAACTTTCACTATCAGGATCTCATCCAACCGATTTAACGTTATGAGATCCTGGATCTCCGCGTCAGACTCGATTCCACATTGCCGTTGCAGAGCAGCACTCGCTAGGCTGTCAGCACTCCCATTCCAGTCTCGTTTGACGTGCAATAGTTCATGATCTGGCCACGTGCGTAGTCGATCCAAGGCTCGCTGACGTAACAGTGTCAGACCTGGCGCCTTACAATCGATATCTCCTCGTACCTGTCGGATCACCAGGTTTGAGTCTCCACAGATCACCAAACGCCGCGGATCCAGATCCTCCAACAGATCTAGACATAGTAGTAGCCCATGGTACTCCGCCTCATTCACCGTCAAGCCTTCGGTATACCCTGATCTGGCTTTCAACACTCTCCATTCGGGCAGCTTCCACAATATTGCGCTGTAGGCGCCTCCACCTCTTTTGACACGGGCTGATCCATCGAAACTAACGACATATAGCTCCTCATCTCGTCCGATAGTGGGGATCGGAGCTTGGATCGTACGTCTTGGCTCCTTTTTGGGGGCGATTGAGATCAACGCCTTATCCACTTCTGATCTAGGGGTAATACTGGCTGCCAGTGCTGATCTCATCCTCTCCTTTGACACACTTAGTGATCTCAAGTGTCCAGGGCGACAACAGAGCGGCCCATTGTCCTAAACGTCCTTACAAGGCCGTGGAACTGAAAAGCCACGCCATTGTTGAGTGTCGGGTCAACACATGGATCGGACGCCCAACCAACGCATTGTAATTAAGATCCAGGATCCTCAGAAGGGCTAGTACATCCTTCTCCGCGATGCCGTAGTTTAGTTCGTTCGACTTCAGAGTACGGCTTGCAAACGTCACGGGATAGTAGATCTGGTCGTATTCTTGCATCAACGCTCCCGAGAGGCCCAATCGCTAGCGTACACCACCACTGTGGCTTTCCGATCTGGGTCAAAATGTCGTAAGATCGGAGTGGTAGCAATCCTGGGTTTAAGCACGTTGAAGGACCGATGGGCATGGATCCATCGCGAATCCACCTCGATAGGGTCGGGCGCCTCCAGATCCAAGGTCTGTCGGTGGTCGACACCCCGATCTTCCTGCGATCCTTGATCTGCGCCCTCCACTCCCAGTACTTGTTTGGATCCGCGCTTGAGTAGCCTCCTTTGTCATCGCAGCACAGTCGATTTCTCGCAATTCGTACAGAACCGACGCGTAGATCGCGTAGTCTTCAATGAATCGGCTATAATAGTTCAGACTTCCCAAGAATGATTGCATAGCTCTGAGTGATCCTGGAAAGGCTAGATTAGTCAATGCGGACAGATCTTTCGGATTCGCCTCCAGTCCATTATGCGAGATCTTATGCCCCAGGTATTCCACCCTGGGCATTCCCCAAAAGCTCTTAACCACACTGATCGACAAATTCCACTCGTCACACGCTTTGAGCAGATTTTCGACTCGGTCACATAGTTGATCCCAGTCATTTGCTGGTATCAGGATATCGTCGATATATGATCTGCGTCTAAGCACCGATGGCCTGCCTGGATCCACCGGTTCCCCGTCTTCAAATACATCTAGAATACCTCCGTGATCTTCGGACTTCGAGATCCGCGTGAATCCATATAGCGCGTTGTCGATCATACGTTGGTAGATCTGGGGACCATTCTTCAAACCGAAAGGCATCCGATTCGATTCAAATAACCCGAACGGCGTGATAAAAGCTGAGATCAAGCGGGCTCGATCCTTCATTTTAACCACCCAAAATCCGCTTGTCATGTCCAAAGAACAGTACCAAAGCGTCGATTCCAGATCTTCGATTAGATCGATAAACAAGGGCATTGGATACACCATCAATTGTGTTAGGCTATTAACCAACCGATAATCAATGCATAGCCTGATATCCACCCCATTCTTCTTAATGATCACCACGATCGGGGAAGCCCATGGCGATCAAGAGTAATTGATCATTTTGGCAGAAATAGTCCCTTGATCAAGTCCGCCAACTTCTCCCTGAACTGGATCCGCAGCTTACGACACTTGAGAGCGATAGGTCTCGCTCCTCCGACGTCGATATCACACACCACACCTCTAGCCGCTGGTGGAAGGGCATTTCCCTTGCCGATCAAGAGATGTCGGAACTTCCAGATCCTTTGGCGAAGTCGGTCAATTTCTTCTGGAGTCTGATTATCAGATCCACAAAGCTGAATGTCTTCGATCTTCACATCCTCCGTCGTCACAGGCACTTCCGGCAGTACCGCCATCTGACCATCGACGTCTTCGGCGTATAGATCACTTCCTTCATGGTAATACACACATTCATCGTAATCTTGATCTGAGTCCCAGGTAAGGTCCAGATCCGATGTGCCTGGTTGATCTTCAACACCAGTTGATGGATCCATGTCCGTTTTTTGCGACATAGATGTGGCGCACTTGTCGTTCAATGGATCACCGGTCACATTTCATGTTCCAAATTGTACACTCATCATTGATGGCAGATCCGATCCACCGCCTTTCGACGGCGATGTTCCTTGATCTTCGCCACTCGAATGTAGTTGATCCAGACTGACACCCTCAGTTTCATCTCGGTCATCTTCTTCTCGCATTCCTTCCATGTCTGTGATTTTCTCCACCAGCGGAATAGTTGCCCACCTGTCCGGTGTCACTTGATCGCGGTCTTCTAGCGCCTCCTTGACCGTTACGGTATGTGATATAGAGTCTTCGTCTGCGATAGACGACAGATCCGACCCCTCGCTCAAGACAGACGCTAGATCCAACGGTCGCATCTCCGACGGCGATGTGTCCGACGGCGACTTGTCCGACGGCGACTCGTTCGTGGGTGGGCAGTCCGGAATATCTTGATCCTGACTCGCCTCGACCTTCCAACACTGGATCAACGTTGCCTTCGGTCTTTGTAATATTGCGCGCGGAGTTTCATACTCGGGCCGCTCCACCGCGGGCACCAGCGGGTTCTTGACCTCCATTTCTTCGGATCGGGTGTCTGTCGTAGCTTCCGACGCTAGATTCTGCCACTCCATGTAACGACGAGAGCCGATCGAGATAAAACCCGGTATCCGCGGAAGATGATCCCCAGCCAGCCAGATCCCGATCCGTTGGTCTTGATGCAGGATCAACACCTCGTCCCCAATATTGGTGATCGAGATGTATTTCGTCCGCCCTGGTCCACCGGATATTGTCGGCACCCATTGATCTCCACGCGTGACCCACAGCTTGTCGTGGATCGACGACCTCAGGCGCAATGGTAGTTCCACCGACTCTCCTGCTTGGATCCGAAGGTATTGGCCGACGTTAACGATCTTCGCCTTGTCGTTATAAAGCTGTCGCCTTCCACTAAGCTGGATCCGGACTTCGTCCGGCAAACTGATCGATCCATGGGC